CTCAGAGTTCTATGGCCACGTTGCCCTCCTAACCTATTTACCAGGTCTCTTGGAAGGCAGGGAGTGGCGCTTGGCTTGCCAGAGCCTGTCCCGTGACGAGGGGAACACCTTTCTCTGAATTCAGGGGACCACGGAGACTAGCAAAGGGACGATCTTGTGTTCATTCTCGTGGGCCCAGAAGCTGTTTTGCCAGAAACCACCAGATGGCGCCATTTCCACGCAAAAGCGCGTTTCCTGAAGGTGACCTGGTCGTTCTTTGATTCAGCTGGCGCGTGCAGGGCCCTGTATAGATTTTAGCACCATTTGGGAGGCCTAAACAGATGGCACGCCTTTGAGGATCTTAGTTTAGTTGTGAATCCGGTTCACATCCACGCACATCAGCTATATGGGGCTATCCATTTAAACGCAATTTATTGGGCACTCAGGCCCAGCGCCGCGCCGGAGCGTGGAGGCGCCCAGGTGAATGTGCCGCTATAGCTTCCAGGAGCTCAGAGGGGTGGAGAGCCGCCCTGCAAACAAACGAGGAAGCACTGTGTGAAAATAAAGCGAAGAGTATAAGTGATAGAGCAGAGATGGGAGTGATTTCCCTGCTTGAGAAAGAAAGCCTCAGCTGATTGCCAGAGGAGGAGACGTTAAAGCAGTTTCAGAGGTTTGCCAGGTTCAGACAATGAGGAGGGGTCTCCCAGGCAGAGAAAGTCCGCAATGGGAGGCAGGCAGGGAGGGAGGTAGGCCTGCCTGCAAATGTCAGAATTGGGGGCGGTGGTGGAAGAAGAGGGTGGCCGAAGGCTGAGAGGTGACAGGTGCAGACCCTCCAGGTGGGTGCAACGTAGCCCCAGGAGACCTGGCAGAGGCTCCAGAGGAGGGAAGAGGGGATGTGCCAGGAGGAGAGGAGCTTATCGCAGATAAAGGAGCTGCAGCCGGCAGGGCAGCCCTGGCCTGGGGCTTGGGGCCCGGTGGGCGCTTGCGCCTGGAGTTTGGGGACAGAGGGACCTTCATCAGTACTGTAGCCACAACTCCTTCAACTCTAGGTGGAA